AAATATCTTGCCTTGAGTTATATGGTAAATCTGTACATTGCAATGTAGAACCAACGTATTAAATTATTGATTTATTTATATTAAGCAGTCAGGTGGAAATCAAAAGAAAAGATTGACGTTTTGGGAAACTGTAGAGAATTTACAGGGCTACAATTTTTATTTAGCCCATTTTATGAGATCTCGTGTTCAAAACAAATATAAATTTTAAAACAACTATGGAAAAATGTTTGTTCATTCCTGTTCCCTTTCTCCCTTCATTTATGTTGATTGGAAGGGCCAAAATCTTACATTAATGCCTGAAAAAATTCATCAAAACATACTTTTAGTGTATAGAAAATGATGTAAACACTCAAAAGGCCCTTTGTGAAAACCACTTGTGCTTGCTTTATCTTGGTAAATTGATTTAAATCCAGCGAAAAACTGTTTTTCTTTATACTTCAAAAACAATTTTCAACTTGATAAATCTTTTTCCAAGGGGATACGTTTACCTATTTTATTCCACTACCCCCTTTTGAAATAAAATTTATAAGATATAAATTTTAAAATTCTAACATGATTTTGTAAATTAAAAACAAAATTTTTTAAATACATTTCTATTTTTAGATAACAGAAAATTTTTGAAAGAAAATATTTAAAGGTAAAACTTTAAAATTCTAAAATGAATTTTTTAAATTTCAATAAGTTTTAATGTATTCTTAAATCTAAACAAATAGGTAGAGGTAAAGATTCACCTTTTGAATTTAAACTATTAACATGACTAAAAAAGAAAAAGAAAGTTTGTTTATCAATACAATACTATACTATGATACTGAACTCTGCCCCCGGCAGATATCAGCTGTTGGCAGTTTCATTCACTATGGTAACGTTCAAGCTCAGCATAAAACTGTCATTGCTGCCAGGAGCAGAGATGGAAAAATCGCAGTATATTAACTAAACACAAATGTGTGCACGTACACCCATGCACACATATACATATACACATTTTATGTTAATATTAATATAATAAAGGACAAAAGCTGCTGGGTACCCAAATAGGAAACTGGCTTATTCTACATTTCCTGAAGTGGTTACAATCTTCACTTGATATTTTTTAAACCGTAGTGTTGAAGATTTTTTGATTTTTTAAACGCAGTTGATGAAGTAGTAACAACAGGCATGGAAACATGTTCTTTTTACCCACACAGCTAATGAGAAAAATTCAAACACAATAAGTTATTGTGTCCAATTAGAGGATATCTATCTCATAGCCTCAATTAGCTAACATTACAGTTATTTGAAACAAAAAATCACATTCTATGTTAAAACGGATTTGTTTTTTACCGGTTTCTGAAATTTGAATTGCGCCTGTAGAATGATTGATTCCAGTTGGATTTTTTTGCTGATGAAAACCATTCTTCAATACATTCATGTGTTTTTGAAAAGAACCAGGTTCAAAATATTTACTCTTTGAAACCAATTTCACTCCTCTTTGTCATTTATTTTTTGACAGGTTCTTTAAGTTGGACCATCATCTTTGCGAAGTTTTACATCCCTTTGTGACCGTTTCTCGCATTCCAGTCTCCATACCACTCTATCGTTCCATCCATCTCTTCTAGTCTTCTTTGCATATCGTTAAAAATCTGCATTCTGGCCATTCCTCTCTGGGTCTACGCTCTTTTCTTCTGTATAAAGGAAACGCACCGCAATACCTTTAAGGGCATCTCACTAATCAAGCCTTTTCAGCCTTCGTGTTTCCAATTCATCTATTATTGATTTTTGAACCTTCATTCACTTAAGAATTTCTTCAATTCTAATATGTTCCATTTTGGAATACTCCACAACTTCTTCTCAAAAAATCCATTTGTAGGCTCATTAATTTCTCTCTCTCTCTCTCTTTTTCCCTAGTTCCCATGTCTTGCAAGAATACAATGTTATACTTTGTATGACAGAGTCGAAAAGTCTTTTCTTGGTAGACTTGGATATTTCTTTTCCCCAGAGCTGCGAGTTTAACTTTCTAATAGCTTGCCGTTGGACACGTACATCATTTAAAATTATTTTCATTATCACCACTAAAATTCATTTATCACAAATATCAAACTACTTTGATATATTTTTGACTTCTTAACATATACAATTAACAAATGGTCCCAGATTTATCAAAAGAGGCACCATCTCCTTGTTCTTAGTATTCACCACACAAAAGAACTACTGAACACTTTTCGGAATGTCAAATGAATCTGAAAATGACACCAAGTAATTGAATTCTTTCAATAAACATCCTTCCACAGAAGCTTCTCTTATGGTACAAAGATCAGAAGGGCTGTTTCTGTAAAGCATTACAATTGTAATAAATCTGCTTACATTTTTTCTTAAAAAATGAGATGTCGTAAAAGCAGCCACTAGGAAAGAAATAGAGTACCAAGGGGACAGTTTCCCCTAGAGTCTAGATAAATTAGTTCTTAAAAATTGTGAGAGTGGTAGAAACAGGGCTTGAAAGTCCACTTTACTACACCAGAGGATTAATGAGATTTAAAACAAAAACTAGTAGTTACAAGAGCAAATACTACTTTCTCATTATTTTCAGCACAAAAGAAATTTTAGAATATTCCAAATTGTTTTCCCCTTAATTCTTTAGCTATATAGTGAAACACACTTCTGCAAAAGCAGCATCCGAGATTCAAATTTGATATTCTACATATTACATTTTTTCCACTTTCCAAATATCTGATTGTCTTCACAATCCTGGAAATACAATATTATAGAACAGAGGACCCATGTGACATTATAATGGGTGTCCAGGAAGTAAGGACGAATTTCTATTTTGCGCCATTTTATCATACGACGATTGGCAATCCTGGTTTTATCATGTTAGTTATCTGTTACCTTTCCCATTAGTATCCTGATAGATTTTGTTTGATGAGCATTGTTGTTTGATGTTTTATTTTCATCATGGAGCATATGACTACTGAGCAACGCATCCAGGTGATAAAAAGTTATTACAGGAACAGTGAAAGTCCCACCGCAACCGTTCGTGAATTGCGTGTGATACTCGGACGTAATGCTGCTCCGACAGAATCGTCAGTTCGGAAGTTTGAGACCACGGGTTCTGTGTCAAACGTTAAGAAAACAGGACGACCGCGTACTGTTCGAAATGAAAACATTGTTGCCGTGCGTGACAATGTGACCGTAAGCCCCGAGAAAATTGGTTCGCCGACGAGCTCAACAATTGAATCTATCACCAAGTTCACTGCATATCATCCTTTCAAAAGATCTGAAAATGCATGCGTACAAGATTCAACTAACACAAGAGTTGAAGCCTGCAGATCACGGAAAAAGACGTCGATTTGTTCAATGGGTCTTGGATCGACAAGCGGAGAACGAAAACTTCACAAAAAGAATAATTTTCTCAGATGAGGCACACTTCCACCTCAGTGGATTCGGCAATAAGCAGAACTGCAGAATTTGGGCTAATGAAAATCCGCGAGTGACTGTGGAAGATGAGATGCATCCACAACGCACGACTGTGTGGTGTGGGTTCTGGGCAGGAGGCGTGATCGGTCCGTTCTTTTTTTAAGATGATGCGGGAGCTGCCGTCACAGTAAACGGAGACCGGTACAGGAATAAGCTTTCTGATTGTTTTTTTCCAAGTTTTGGATGATATGGAAAATAACGATTTATGGTTTCAACAAGATGGAGCAACATGTCACACATCCAGTGAAACGATTGCTCTGCTGAATGAAAAGTTTCCTCAAAAAAATTATATCTTTGCGTGGCAACCAGGAATTGCCTGCAAGATCATGCGATCTGACGCGTTGTGATTTCTTTTGTGGGGATTTGTGAGATCAAAAGTGTACGTGAACAAACCACGAACAATAATCGAATTGAAGAATGAAATTACAAGGATTATTAACGGCATCCCACCAGATGTTTATGAACGCGTCATCGCTAACTTCAATGAACGCATTGCTCATTGCTGCGAAGCCTTGGATGGTCATATGGGGGATATAATTTTTCATACATAAATGGGAGAAGTTACTTAATGTGTTCGTAAAAACAAAATTACATTTTCATTAAATTTTATATGTTCTAGAGCACTTTAATATTCGTCCTTATTTCCTGGACAAGTAGAATATTTGGACAATATAATTACCAAAATGTCTTCCTTTATTTATAATGAAAACTAGTGGGGCTACAACAGCACATACTTACTCATGTTATTTCTAACAGCTTCACAATATACATTATATACAATATATATTTTACATGAATCTGCAAGCGTTTTCAATCAGCAAACAAATTGTTCCCCACCAATATTCTAACTCAGGTCCATCAACTTGACTCATTGAGAGCTTTACCATGTCATCATGCATTCGCTCTGACTTTGTAGTCACTATGGCCATCGCATAAAAACAGACCTTTTTTGCCATCAATTGATTTTTCAGTTTCAAGGATCCACAAATCATGAATTTTGACTACATGTGTAAGCTGAAGTAATTTTCATTATAAAGGAACAAGTTTATTCAATATTTTTTGTTTCCAAGCCTAACAATAAGTTTATCTGAATAAAATTTGTCTTCAGATCCCAACCTAACCTGTAATGGTTTCTTAACTAAATAGTTCATCCATAAACCAAACCCGCTATCCGTCAAAGTGTGGAAAATGCCAATAATGCACTATAAGAAACACCAAAGATTCCAACAAGACACTCAAGCCCTCCATTTGATGTAGGCTTCAAAGCAAACCCAAGACATAAAAATCAGTTGCAAAACAGAGACAAATGGTAATCTAATTCCAGTAATCAGAAGAAAATGTAATGATAAATTAAAACTTACTTCTGATTTGCTATCTACTCACATCATACAGAAATGTTGCTTCTAATAAAACACTGTTTTGGGGTGCTAGATATCACTATATACTACCAGAGCAAATTCTCAATGCTGCAAACTTTTCTTTAATAGCAATGCCCTTAATTTTCACACATGCCTTTTATGCCCCATCCCAAAATAACTAAATCCACTCACCAGGATCATGTTGATTTGAAGAATGGTCATCACCCATAGACTCAATATTAGGATCATCCCAGTCTTCCTGATCTTCCATCATCGTCACATCATCAAAGTCTCTCTCCGTCTCATCCGACTTTTCGTCCAAATAAGTATCGGTCACAGGTTCAGTTTTAATTACAGTGTTCACATCTGATGGCACAGTATCTCCTGAAGGGAAAGTAGACACAGAAGGGGACGAGCACTGATTCTTCTCCAGTTTGTCTCTATCACGATCAGTTTCTACTCTAACTGGGCATGAGGTAGAAGCTGATGGTATGCTGAAGGAAGACGCGATAGCAAGTGAGGATGGAATGGGTGAAGATCCTGATGTTTCTCTGTGCGGTAAATGATGGTGAGAAGAACTTTCGTTGCTATTCTTATCGCTGTCGAGGGTGATGCAACTCTCCACAGTATTCTCACTCTCCGTGAGGGTGACTTCCTTTCTGCTAGAATGTGCTTTTGGAGGAACTGCAGCCTTTGAGCTCTTTGATATTGGAGACTTCCCTCTGACATCCTGAAATTACATAAAATACATTTACTAAACTTCCAAATTGCAGATGTAGTCAAATTTAGCCCAAATAGAATGTAACAGTATTTTTTCACACTGTTTTATTTTGATTTTCTTTCTTTATTTTTACTTATTCACTTGTTTATTAATTTAATTTGTAAATATTGTATTATTGTTCAATGATCAATGACAATCCTTCTGTTTGTGTTAAAATATTTTTTGTGGAGATATGGCAAGGACATGTATATTTGAAATATTTTTTGTACTTAGAGCCTGTTTTTTAAGCAGGAGTTCAACACTCACTCACTATATTGATCTGATTACACAATTGTTCTCTGAATTAACTGATTACAAATAAAATTGCAAAAAATAAGTGTTTATGGACTGGACTGGCTAATAAGAGTCCTAAAAATAAAAAAAAGTTCTAAACAATGAAATTAACTCCCTATCTACACAAAGATGGGGAGAAAAACTATGCTGAGGTCTACTGACCCCCCACAAACTCCCTCTGACTGACCCCCCACAAACTTTCATTAATTAACAGTATACTGATTCATCAGCTTTTATCTGATAATATTTATTGAAAGATCTAAAATAAATTTATTTATTTACTTCTTTCATACACATGCAAGTTCCTCTGTGCTGATGCTGGATTTCAGCACTGTCATTGGATCTTTGGATATCTTTTGAAGGTAAAAGACCAACACAATAATGGGAAATTTGGTATAATTTTGTGTAAAATAACAAGCAGGTGTTTCAAAACTAAATTATTTCAACAAAATTAAATTTATTGATTTATTATTGTAATTAAAAAAGATTGCAGTTTTAAATTATAGCATTCACGTTTAGAATTATCACTCTAAAAGTAAGTGTAAATCAATAATGTTCTTACTCGAGATTTTCCATCGCTGCCTAACCCCTTTATTTGCAACGAATCTGCAACTTCAAGAAAAGCTGCCAATCTATCTTCACAAACTTCCACTTCTCCTCTGTACATAAAATTAACAGCAGCTTCCAGTTCTTGAAATTTCACATCTTTGAGAATGACTATTGGATTCTTCTCACTCTCCTGACTAAATAATAACTAGAAAGAAAAACAAAATATTTTAGAATGAAAATAGAACAGTACACTGAGTCCATTTCCTAACCACATATCTGTACATTCTGAGTAACCTTAAGCAGCAGGAAAACATGTACAGATGTTTACATACAAATAGTATTTATATGTATTCAATATTAATTTTGTAAAGAACACCTTAAGACAAAATTCTAACACAAGCACACTACAGCAATGAGATCTAATCAAAGTTTAGAATACATTCGAAAGTGGCTGTGAGTTTACTTCATTTTTATACGTCAAAATGTATTCCTCTGGAAGCAATTGCATACCAATATTTTAATTATTTTCTGAAAGTTCATTCATCAACATATTTTGAGATTTTTATGATAATTTTAAACATTTGAAAATATTTTCAATGAATATAAAAATTATCAAAAATAATTTGATTATAATAAATTGGAGCCCCACTTTCCATGTTCTCTTATCACCTTAGAGTGAGCTGTGATTCCCCCCCCCCTTGCTAAATCTACATTGCCATCTATTTCTAATTTTGGTTATCAACTAATATTCCCCTTCTTTTGGAAGCTGGTAATGCGAAAGCAAAATTAAATAGGAATAGCTGAACTTTTTCTTCTCAGTTCCAATGTGAACTTTTCTTAGAATAGAATACAAGAAACCAAGCTTAAAGAGAGGGGTGAAGGTTTCATGTTAGTTGAAATGCCTGATTTTGCGAAAATTTAAGCAAATTAAAAATTCCGGCGTCTTCCTACAACTACAATTGTGTCAATACATTTTTTTCTAAATGATATGGGTTTATCAAAATCGGATCTCCAAATAGGGCCATGTTGACTTTTCTGAAAATATGAGATTTTTGTGTGTGTAATTTGGCGACAAGCAATAGACTGCGCCTAGTTTACTGCGCTTCGTTAACGTAATTCGAGGCAATTGGATGCTCCGTAAATTAGAATTTGTATTTCTTTCAGTCGACCTTTTGTTATACATTTACATTTTAATATTTTAGAAATTATTTAAAACCTATTTGAAATATATAAAGTTAAACAGTTCTAGCCTTCAGGGAATATCAGATTGGAATGCAACAGACTCGAATCGGCAGTAGAATTTCTGTGAATTACATCTCATTGTTAGGACATGATCAAACTGTATGAAAAGCAGCTACAATTGCCTAATTTGTGTTGATATTTCTTTGAAAATGTTTGGTCTTTTCACCAAAAGTTGTACGAGTTGAAATGTATTTTATACAAAATGATGACTTGTTAATTCGGAGAGAAATTGCGGCATAAATAGTATTACAAAACTAGTAACACAAAAGGCAAGAAAATCCGTGCTGTCTTAGCACCACTAGTTTCGGTATGTAACTAATGTCTGGCCTCTCAAACAATTTAATAATCTGCATTTAGTAAAATAACACCTCTTTCAATATGTCCCAGGACTAAGTAAGAACATTTTATTCGCAAAATTCAATTCATGAACATAATCGCCTTCAAGAGCTATACTATCATTCCACCGCTTTTCTAACTTTTAATGCCATTCTTGTAAAACGATTTTTGCCCTTGATCTCAAAATAAACTTCGGTCGCAGCGATTAGTTCCTCACAGGAACCAAATATTTTTCCCTGGAGCATCTTTTTGGGATCAACAGTCAGTAGTCATTGGGGGTTGCATCTGGAGAATATAGTGGGTGGAAAAGCTAATTGAAGCCCAGCTCGTTCAATTTAGCAATTATTTTAATTGACTTGTGGCACGGTGCATTGTATTTTCCCTTTCAGTCAATGTAATTTACCTTGCGCATCCCAAAAAATGGCGCAATGACTGCCGACTGTTGCGTTTTTGGATGCTTCGGAGCAGTCACCGGTAGCACGCATCAACTGTCTGCCGCTTCGACTCCGAAGTGAAATGGTGAATCCATGTTTCGTGCATTGTGACTTACCGACGCAAGAAATCATGTTTATTGCGAGTAAACAGTGACAAACTGCTCTTTGAATCGTCAACTCGTTAGTTTTGTTCTATTGCGAGCAACCACGGCACCCATTGGAAAACTTTTTTCATGCCCAACTATTCCTGTAAAATAGTCCTCGCACTCCCAGTTGATACGTTTTCCATCTCGGCAATCTCACGAACTTTCACTTTGCGGTCATCAGTCACGATTTTCAAAACCGATTTCAAATTTTCTGGAGTGACTGCTTCATTTGGCCACGTTCGGCATCCGTACGACCGCACTTAATTTTCGACACAAAATCAGCATTCCACCGGCAAATTGTTTTCGATGGAGCAGAGACATTCTCAATCCATTGCTGAGCTTACACCTCACTTTTCCCATTAAATATCAACATCCGAAATTCACATACCCCCCCCCCACACACACACACAAATGCACAAGTAGCGTCACTTTCACCACATTATCTTTGCTGTTTATGGTCCTACTGACGTGAAAATCGGATACACGTTATTTGAAGGTGAGTTCTTTCGAAAAACGAAATCAAGTTGATATTACCATTATGAATTAATCCCGGGACGATGTGTTAGATTTTGGAAAACGGGATTAGAATTTAGGAAGCCAAATTTTATTCTTCGTACAGTTTCTTGCATTTACACATACAAATAGTGAAAATGCACAAAATTTACTAAAAACAATTGTGCCTAATGAAAAAATAATAATAAATTCAAAATACAAAATGAGAGCCATAAAAGTGACATAAATATTAAAAATTCAAATTAGATAGAAATCTATACTCAAGACTTAGAAATAAATAAAGAGAAAAGATTTGGGCGTATTTTGTGAAAAGTGCGAACATAATTATAATTTAAAATATTAATTTAATGGTTTCAATATGAAATCTATAAGAAAACGATAGCTGCAGGAAATTAGTGACTGGGAGCATACGGATTGTGAAACATTCGAAAAGTGGCGTGGAACCAAAAAACGTAATTGCCATTGATCTGTTCCGCGTCGTAAAATAGTAAACATTCAAGGGATTCATGGTTACTGTCACAGCGAGGTCAGAAAAGGTGAGGTAGCCAAGCATTAAGGGCAAGTTGTGATAAGCTCCGTTGATTTTTTTCTTCTCTCTTTTCCATGCTGAGATTTTAACGTTAAAACACGGGCAATTATTAGCATTTTCAATAAAGTTTCGACATTTTGAAGTTTCACAAATTGAATCTTGAATTTTGAAATTGAACTAAATCACAATAGATGTGAAACAAACGAAAGACACGGTGCAATGAGCAAATGCACAATTTCAATTACACGAAATGCGAACAAATAATAGCCGTATACGTAGGTTCACAAATTGTAAAATAAAATTATTCATAAACTAATACTTGCAGGAATTATGGGAAGCGGTTCCAAATACTGTTGATTTAAATCATAAATATATTTTACTTTCTCGCATTTACAAACTTAAGAGCTGCATGCGCTGGAAAACTGCGAATTATCGACACAAAAACTCTTATTGCCAGGCCCTAATTAGGAAAAGTGGATAAATCCAGTTGTTAAATGTAAAGGGAAACAATCCTCTAACCCGTGATGTAGACATAATCCACGTTTTGTGCGTCCCTCATACCGAAAAATCGATTGACGGCAAAACGTCCATTTGTCTGCGTCAGTTTGTCTGAATGACCACAACTCTAGCGCATAAACCGTCCAGCAGATTTTCTCTAAAATTGGTCTTCCCCAATTGTTCTAGCAGATGTCACAGGCCCTGCCATTTGAAACAGATATTTTAATTTTAAAAAATGGCTACAAATTGATTAGTTTGTTGTTGAATATCGCAAAGGACGTATGTGCAGGTCTCATTTTCATTGACATCCCCGATTTATTGAAATTGGAAAAATATTTTGTTTAATCTAAATGGTTTCAACCACACAAACTACGGCTCGCCTTCCATTTTTGGCAAAACAATCTGGACCTACGGCATTCAACTATGGGGTACTGCAAGCAACTCAAATCTATATTACAAAGGTTTCAGTCAAATCTATTGCGCGCGCTGCTAATGCTCCTTGGTATATTTCCAATGTAATTCTTCATAATGACTTACAAGTAAAAACTTGTAAAAAAATAATCACCAGTTCCAGCTTCAGATACCAGCAGAGGCTTAAAACCATCCAAACTACCTGGCGCTAAACCTACTGGACAACACGCGAGGACACAAGACGACTGGCAAGACATACTCCTTTAGAACTCGTGTACAGATTCGGTTGAGTTGCCACTGGGCAACATCACTGTCCCAATAATAAACTGTGTTTGTGTATGTACATACGTTCCAACATCACCGAAAGTTATGTATAACTAATTGTGAATAAAGCAGAAGTAATAATAATAAAAAAAATTTTGGCAAAAATGTGCTTTGAAGAATTGGTTAAAAAAATATGTTGTGCCTATTGTTGGAAGTGCCCATCGCTGCATGCGCGCATTGTTGTCACAGCGCTCATCGATTGAGATGTGTTGATATAAACAGAAATGCTGTATAATTTTGTTACATAACCTTTACTAAGGGGCGAGAAAGTATATCACCACTATTTTACCTTCTAGCTACGGAATAGAAAGAAAGTTATGTAATGCTGCACGGAAAACAAATTTTCGGTACTCATTACAGGGCCCCCTAGTAAGGAAAAAGTGGATAAATCCAGTTGCTAAATTTAGAAAATAAATTATCTATTATATGGTGTAGACAGAATCCATGTTTTGTCCATCTGCTTGTCTGCTTGCCTGTCCGTTTCCATCACTTCCAAAAACACGAAGAAATCTAGTGGTACAACAGACTGACACTGTCTTCCCAGTATTTGTTTTCTATTTCCATTGGTCTCAGCTAGCTATTCGGACTTGCCACAAACTCTAGCCAGCTGCCATCTATCGCCACCCAAAGTATATTTGTTTAAAATATTCTTAATTTTTCGGCTAACAGTACAAGGAAAAATTAGAAGAATATTAAATACCAGTAAAACATCATACTAAATGGCAATTTTCTTTGAAAAAATTGAAGTAGTTTTTAAGAAAATGGCATTTAA